CAACCTACAAAGGCAGTTTTATTCAGACACTGTCATTCTGGCATTAACATCCTGCTTCAGTGGCATCACCTTAACCTGGTGAGTACCATTATTGCTTCCTTATCAACATGTTTTGATCTTTTAATTGTAACCCCCCCCCCTTTTTAATGGAAAGGAGGGAGATACATTTAATAAAAAGAGAGAAATAAAATGCTCCTTTCAGGGAGCCCAAGGCAGCAAGGAGAAAATCTCCAACAGTAGTCACTATTTGCAGTTCTTTCCCCTCACCTCTTTTTATCATGTGGACAACTGCTTGTTCTGCTTAATTTTAAATTACCTATTTTAATCAAGGGATTTTAAGATGGCTCTGAATTGTTGTAAACTCCTTCAAGAACCTACTCTGGCTGAAAATTGCAGCAGGCAGTAAGTCTAGTTCATTGTCTTTCAGAGACAAGTGCCCCCGATCACCAGCACCGGATGATGGTGGTGGGACTAAACATCTCGGTACAGTGGTGCTTTGAGTTATGAATTTAATCCGTTCCGGAATTATGGTCGTAACTCAAGTTGGTCGTAACTCATTATGATCGTAACTCAAGTTGGTCGTAACTCAAAGCACCATTTCCCATAGGAATACACTGAAATGCGATTAATCCGTTCCGGCCGGGGAAAAAAAATCAATTCCAACAGGGATTAAAAATGCTACAACTACACACTGCAAGACCCGTCAAAACACAGAAACATAATCCTCCCAAAATCAAACAAATCCATTCCAGCAGGGACTAAAAAACACGGAAACATAACCCCCCAGCCCAAACTCACACTGCAAAATCCTGTACAGCCCTCACCCAGAACAGGCAGTTTTTTAAATTTTAAAAAGCAGAACCAGGCAGTCCGAAGCCTCTCTCAGAATGCAGGAGCTGCAAAGAAGCAGCCTCTTCACTGACCAAGGGTTAGCAGTTTAAATTCCCCATTCCCCCCCCCCTTTTTACAAAGCAAAATTTTGCGACCAGAGCGGGTTGTAACTCAAACTGGTCGCAAGTCAGAACAGTTGTAAGTCAAGGCACCACCGTACTCTTCAGAAAGCAAAGCACCAGCAGCCGGAGCAAAGCTGCAGAAAGACAGCATGTCTCCAGAGGAGCTCGGCTGCTACTCAAGAGGAAGATTTACCCGGAATTTGTTGAGCGCCTTCGCCAGAGCCTCGATAGTCTCCATGTCAAGGTGGTTGGTCGGTTCATCCAGAATATAGAAGTTGGGACTGGAAAGTAAAGGAGATTTGATGAAATTGATATTGGCCTGGAAGAGTCTCAAAATGAGCTTCAAATGCACACACCTGCTGTTTGGACAGAAGCGTCCAGCGTTAACAAGGCTGGAAACCCAAGAAGCTGCTCAGCAGTTTTAATACAAGGCCCTTATGCGCCTTCAAGTCTACTGAGGCATGAGGTGATTCCCAAGGCATTGTCCTGAACTAGCAGATCCTTGCCTTATGGGGAAGGGCCACAACACAGGCCTGGAGCCAATAGCTTTGATTATAGAAAGCTCCAGGTTCTAATCCCTAACATGGCCGGAGGAAGCAAGGGCTGCGATAGAGCTCAGCCTCTTGAAGACCTGCTCAGAATGGAGCACTAGTCTGAACTGAAATATAGTAGTTCACCCTATCTTATTTCCAAGCAGGCTCAAAAGATGCTTCTGCCCAAAAATGAAACAGGAAGGCGAAAGAGCGGGGCTGCATGCACGCCACCACAAGCCACACAAAGGCTGCCTCCAGCCCTAAGTTCTGAAAGGCAAGACAAGGCCTTACCAAGGCATGGTCATCTGCGCAAAAGCCACTCTGCTCTTCTGGCCTCCAGACAGGGTGGCCACAGGGCGGACGGCCAGCTCTCCAGATACGCCATAGCACCCCAACTGATGCCGGTACTCCTCTTCGGTCTTCCCTGGAACCCACATATAGAAAACAGGCATCAAGTGTGTGGGTTTCATAAACGTCACCATACCAATGCATCTCTCTTTCTGGAGAGAAGCATCTCTATACATCCCTTGGTCCATCTCTTGAGCTCAGTAAAATCCACTCTAAACTCAGTAAAATCTACCTTGCCTCGCAGCAGCTCTCCAGCTTTTTGAACAGGGTTCTTTCTTAGCCCATCTGAAGGGTCACTGGTGGTATCCCATAAAGCACTAACCGGGCCTGACTGCCGTAGAATAATGAAGGCCCCTGAGTCCAACCCCCTGCTCTAAATCAAAGCAGATCTGATAGATGGTTGACCAATTTTCTCTTGAATGCCTAGAGCATTGGAGTGCTTACCACCTCCCAAGGTCATTGGTTCCATTGTCATACTACTCTAACAGGTAAGACATTTTTCCTGATACTCAGCCAAAATCTGGCTTCCTGTAACTTGAGCCCATTCTTATGTATCCTGCACTTTGGGGGAAAATCCTGCCCCTCTTCTGTATGACAGCCTTTCAAGTCTTTGAAAAGAGGTATCATATCTCCCTTCAGTTTTCTTTTCTCAAGGCTAAAATGTGCAGCTTCTTCATGGCCTCTGAATCCACACAATTGGGTTGTTCTGCGCCTGCACAGGATGTTTCAGAAGTTTGTAGAGCTTAAAGACGTGATTAATGAGACGTTCCCCTGTGGAGCGCATGCTCTGCCCATCTCCTTTCCTTTTTACCACCGCTTCAGTAGGACGTATCTCGGAACAATAGAGCGAATAACTCAGCAAGTACTTTATCTAAT